GTAGAGACGTTTGCCCGCACCTTTCAGCACGTCTATATAAACTCCCCACAACCAAGTGGCTGCACTGAAGACATCTTCAGCAACTCAGCTGACCAGCTCCTTCCAGGACCAACCAACCAGCCAGCCGACAGCCAGCCGACAGCCAGCCAACCAACAGCCAACCAACAGCCGACCAACAGCCGACCAACAGCCAGCGACAGCCAGCCGACAGCCAGCCGACAACCAGCCGACCAGTGACCAACAGGAGGCCACACCAAGCACGAAAATAGGTAAGGGCCCTTATCTGAAACAGTTGGAGGCGCTTGGTGGTCGGACTGTCCACTGAGCCTTGGTCAGGTATAGCTGCAAAGTGGGAGGAGCTATTCTGGCACCTGTGTGCACTTTAGTGACTGTATGACACTTTCTGTGGCTGTGAATCATCATAAAACTCTGCTGTTTAACTCGTCAGTACAAAAGATGAAGAACTGTGTGAGAAAACGTAAAGTTTTCAGAACACAGGTTGCATAGAGTCGTCACATTATCTGCTGTTAAGTGACGTTAAAGATGTTGTTTAAGGAAAGATTTGAAATGGGAATTAAGAGTGGGAAAAACATCTTCTGGAACCAGAAGATGCTCCTGACTGCACAACTGATTTTAATGCACTGGCAGAGTCAAGGGGTGACCACGGAGTATCACATAGTCCTGGTAGGATTAACACACAAAGCTAAGGCCGACAAGGAAACTGCTCTTGAACAGGGACTATATTCACAAAGCATCTTAAGGCTAAAATAGCTCCTAACTCACGACTGATCAAAGCTCAGGCAGAGAAGGAAACATCTCTGTGACTAAATATTCCAGCCTTTGATTTCAGTGTTTTTGGGCTGAAATGACTAAAAATACAAAGTTATCAAACAGTTTTAAATCTTAGGTCTGTACAAGTGAAATCAAATGAGTCTCTAACCTCACAGTTCTCCTCCCCCGTCTGAAGACATGCCAGTGATCCATGTATTGGTGATTGATAGAGTGTCCACACACACACACACACACACACACACACACAGTTTTAAGTTTCTTCACTTACTGGATGTTGTAAGCTATTTTTTAATTATAAAAAAGAAATAAATAAATATGTTTTTCTCAGTTTAATTTTTTCTTTCTTTGACCAGGAAATCATGAACGTCCGGTGCCTGTTTGCCTGTTTGCTGCTGGTGCTGCTCTCTGCCGCTCAGTGCACTGAGGGGGAACTCATGAGGACTTCAAGAAGGACACTTCA